TGCCAATGACATAGACATTACCGGGAAGCGCGGCAACTTTTTCTCTTTCTCTCTAATTCTCCTACAGAGAGAGACATTTGCCGCTTCCTGGCGGAATGTCTATGTCATTAGCAACACTTCCTCCCACGCTCCTTTTTTGTCTAGTGGTTAGGATTTATGGCTCTCACCCATAAGGCCGGGGTTCGATTCCCCGCAACGGAAGATGGTTTTTTTTGGTTTTGTAACGCATTTTTTGAGATTTCAGGCTCTTAAAAATGTCATTTTTTGGTTTTTAGAGATCAAATATGCCTTTTTCTTCAATTTTTCCAGTTTCCAGATTCTCAAAAATGTGATATTTTGGTCATGTGGTCGTTGCCAAGAGAAAATATATTATTCAAAAGGGAGACCTTATATGTTTGTTTTGCCTATAGCTTCTGGCATTTCTATGGGGGACAAAAGACCGGGGGAAAATGATGCAAAATTTGATTTTTTGGGATAAATCGTTTGATTTTTAGCAAAAAAATGTAGTTTGTACGGGGAAAATTCGGGATTTTTGAGAAAAATAGACCGAAAAATATAAAAAATCGGTTTTTGAGGGCAAAATCAGTCCGAATTTGGCATTTCTAGCCATTTCCGGAGATCAACCTCTTGCTTTTCGACCTTTTTCGGGGTTAATATCCGATTTTCTAGCGAAAAATTTAAGATTTTTGTGTCAAAAAACGCCCAAAAAACCAAATTTTTGAGGGCTAAAAACTAAGATTTTTTGGCATTTTTTGGCTGAAATCCATCAGATTTTTAGCCAAAAAATCTAATTTGTCCTGATGAAAGTGGGAATTTTGATATTTTTGAGCTAAATAGATCAAAAAAAGATGCAAAATTGGGGGTTTTTTTGGGTCAAAATATGTCGAAAAACGTCAAAAAATCGCAATAAAATCGGATTTTTTGAGCATAATAGGCGGAAAAATGATGCAAAATTGGATTTTTGGAGTCAAAATCCCCATTTTATGCGCTTCAAGCTATCCTAAAACTACATTTGCAGTTCGTGTGCACCGGCGGCTCTCCAGGACGTTTCAAGCTCTACGCCGAATGGTTCGCCAAGGAAACCTCCATCCCATGTTCGGAGAATCTCTCCCGCTCCGACCGCTTCGTCATCTACAAAACCGGACCAGTCTGCTGGATTAACCACGGCATGGGTACCCCATCTCTCAGCATCATGCTCGTCGAATCATTCAAACTCATGCATCACGCCGGCGTCAAGAACCCCACTTTCATTCGTCTGGGGACTTCTGGAGGCGTTGGAGTGCCACCTGGCACTGTCGTTGTGTCTACTGGAGCCATGAACGCTGAGCTTGGAGACACCTATGTCCAAGTGATCGCTGGGAAGAGAATCGAGCGTCCGACGCAACTGGATGCGACGCTTCGTGAAGCGTTATGCGCCGTTGGAAAGGAGAAAAATATCCCGGTGGAAACTGGAAAAACAATGTGCGCTGACGACTTCTACGAGGGACAGATGCGGTTGGACGGCTACTTCTGTGACTATGAGGAGGAGGATAAGTACGCCTTCCTGCGCAAGTTGAACTCTCTCGGCGTTCGGAACATTGAGATGGAGTCGACGTGTTTCGCGAGCTTCACGTGTCGAGCTGGTTTCCCATCGGCTATTGTCTGTGTCACACTGTTGAATCGTATGGATGGGGATCAGGTGAGAATTTGGAGCTTTTCTGCATTTTTTAGCTCTTTCAGGCTCAAAATTGGTCATTTTAGACTAAAAATTAACAATTTTAAAGTTCAGAAAACTGAATTTTCGACCTAAAATTGATATTTTTAGTCCAAAATTTTGCGATTTTTGAGCTCAAAATTCGTCATTTTCGACAAACCCCCCCCCCATTTTTCAGGTCCGAAAACCATGATTTTCGAACTAAAGTCGATATTTTTAGGTCTAAAATTTACTTTGTGTAAAGCTGGTTTTTTGATTCGAAAAGTTTCATTTTTCGCTCGAATTCTGCAATTTTTGATCCCAAAAATGTGTAGTTTAAAAATCGTGAATTTTAGCTCAAAATCCTAATTTTCAGCTTAAAAATCGTGAATTCCAGCTATTCTTTCGCGATTTTTGGTGTAACTAATGTCAATTTTCAGCTGGAAATTAAGTATTTTTAGGTCCAAAAACTCCGGAAATGAAATTCGCAATTTTCAACCCAAAAAACCCAAATTTCACCATTTTTGGTCTAAAAAATGTCAATTTTTAGCTTGAAATTTACAATTTTCAGGTTCGAAAACATAATTTTCGTGCTGAAATCCCAAATTTTTAGCTCCAAATATCGATTTTTCAAGCATAAAAATCGCCGTTTTCAATTTCAAAAATCCCAATTTTCCAGCTCCAAATTATCGATTTTTTACTAAAAAATTCCAATTTTTCAGGTCCGAATCGATTTTTCCAATTTTAGAAATCGTCAGTTTAGATCTCAAAAATCCTAAATTTCACCTTGAAATTCACCATTTTAGATCTCAAAAATCCCAAATTTTTAACTGCAAATATCGATTTTTCAAGCTCGTAATTCAATATTTTTGACGAACAATCCCGAATTTGCAGCTTAAAATTCGCAATTTTCAACCCAAAAATCTCAATTTTTATGGTCCAAATCGAATTTTCCTAATTTAGAAATCGTCAGTTTAGATCTCGAAAATCCCAATTTTCAGCTCAAAATTCGTCATTTTTAAACCCAAAAATCCCAAATTTACAGCTGGAATTTCACCATTTTTAGGCTTAAAAATTCTACTTTTCACCTCGAAATACCGATTTTTCAGATTTTTTCAATCTGAAAACATCTCAAAAATGCCAATTTCCAGGTCCAAATCGACAAGGAGAAGTACATTGAGTACGAGGAGCGCCCGTTCCGTCTCGTCACCGCCTACATCCGCCAACAGACTGGCGTCTAAAGACCTCTTCTAGTTATTTCTTTTTTTGAATTTCCCCCTTAAAAAATGTAAATTCGCTCCTCCGAAATAGTCTCTTTCTCGTCCCCTTTTCTATTGCATTCATTGAAAAAATTCTAAAAAATTCTAGATTTTTTTACTAACCTTCCGAAATATTTTCTCTCACAAAAAATTCTATGTGATTGCCATGATTTCCCTTTCGTCTCTCATGTAAATACCTCCCTGCTCCGGAAAACTGAATTTTTATCCCTGAAATTTGGTTTTTAGACTAGAAAAATTAGCACACTGAAAGTCTGAAAATGTGGCTAAAATCTGAACATTTTGAGCTATAATTGTTTAAAAATTCGATGTTTTTAGACTAAATTAACCTGAAAATTCTAGAAAAATAAGTCAAAAATCTGAAGAAATAGGTTTAAAATTAAAAAAAAATAGGTTTTTAAATCTGAAAAAATGTCAAAAATTTGAAAAAAAAATGTCTTAAAATTTGAAAAAAAATAGGTTTAAAATTTGAAAAAATAGGGTTTTAAATCTAAAAAATGTCAAAAATTTGAAATTTTGAAAAAAAAGTTCAAAACTTGAAATTTTAAGAATCTGGAAAATGTCTGAAATTCTTTAAAAACTTAACTCTGAATATTTTCGAAAATTTGATATTTAAAAATCTTAAATTTTTGAAAAAAACGGCTAAAATCTAAGAAAATTGACCTAAATTTTCGAAAATTCCATAATCTGAAAAAATAGCTGAAAACCCATTTTTTAAGACTAGCTTAGCGTCTTAAAATATGGCTAAATTCTCAAATTTCTAGAAAAAAATTGGTCCAAAAAAAATTTAAATCCTAAAAATCTGTAAAAATGACTGAAATCTAAAAAATATGTCTAAAAATTTGAAATCTTTAAAATCTTAAAAATCTGAAAAAAAATTGAGCTAAAAATTTGAAATCTTTAAATTCTTGAAAATTTGAAATTTCTTGAAAATAGTTCCAAAAATCAAAATTTTTCGAATTTCTAAAAAATTCCTAAAATCTGAAAATTCCAGCAAAAAAAGCCTTAAAATTTGAAATCTTTATTATTTTTGAAAAATTCAAAAAATCACAGAAAAATAGGCACTTTTTAAGCATCATCATCAAAAAACAAAGAGAAAAAAGACACACGTAATGGTAGGAGAAAAGCTGGAATTGACAGAAAAAAGCTGAAAATTTTGAAAAAACAAAAAATCAATAAATAAAAAAATTTTGGTTTTCATCGATAAAACCCTGAGCAAATTGTGTTAGTTGTGTTGAGAGATTTCTGGGGAGAAAATAAAAAAAGTTAAACAAATAAAGAAATTTCTTATCAGTGCAGTGATAAGGAATTCCTGATTAGAAACGGACCTCGGATTCCAGATCCATGGTTTTTGGTTTTTTGGAGCACAAATACAGTAGGACCAATGAGCAAACTACAAATGAGCCCAAGGCGATGAGCAATGGAGCCCATTTCACGCAAATTGAAGATGTCGTCAGGGACTCAGAAGCCACGACGTCGTCTTCGTCAGACATTGAATCCTTAACGTTGATGATTGAAGAAACAGCGAGAGATTCGACGCCAGACATCTGAAAAAATAGAAGACATCAATTTTGAAATTCAGAAGACGTTCTAGACTCACCAAAACCAACTCCTGTCGAATCTCATCATTCAGAAGAGGTGACGTCGTCTGATGATGTCTTCTGAATCTTGACGAAGAGATACATGAGGGTACTGTACACTGTCCGACGCATGGGTTACAATCGCATTGGAAGCGGATCATCGAGCTGTCCGGCCATTTGAATGTTCTGGAACAATTTAAGTTTAAAGGCGCATATGAAAATCATGAAAATGTAGGAAATTTTATGAGCTACATTTTTGTAGTTGATAGCTTTTTGATAGCTAGCTTCGTTTTTGAGATATGCGCCTTTAAAGCCAAGATGCGCTGAAACTGGAGGGGGTGGCGCGCCTACTTGAGCGTGCCTTAAATTTAAAGGCGCATATCTCATGAACTAACAGAGCTATTAAAATTTTGTCAACAGTGAAAATGTATGACATTTTATAAGCTACATTTAAGCTGTTTACAACTTTCTGATAGCTAGCTTCGTTTTTGAGATATGCGCCTTTTAAGTTAGTGTGTGCTCGAAAAGGCGCGCCCTGACATGAGCGCTCATAAACTTCAAAGGCGCGTATCTCATGAACTAGCATTGTTACAGAAAAGTTAAAAATTACAAAAATGTAGGAAATTTTATAAGCTACATTTCTATAGATGTTAGTTTTTACTAAAACATACCTAAACATAGCCTGAACCTTTGCCGAATTCGTAACACTCCATTGTGGGAACAACGACTCATCAATTGCACACCCTTGCTCATCAGTCAACGTGTATCTCTCGCCGCTTTCAATATTCACAGCGAAGCAATTTCTGGGCAAAATTCCAAAGTTCTCAGATGGTGTGACTTCCAAGGCAAGCTTCAAAGTGTCTCCAACCATAGCTGAGCTGATTGACGAGTGTTGATCATTGGAAACTGATAGCCGGCAAATTGGAGCTAGCGTTGAGTTCTTGTCAGTTAGCGTTGAAGTCGTTGCAAGCTCGGAGACGTTGACGTGGGATTGTACGGCTCTGGAGCCGATTGGGTATTGGCATCGGAGGTCGTAGGAGTCGGCCTGGAAGAATTTCAATATGATTTTTAATTTGGTGGGTCAGCAAGTCTACCTTATTCGTCAAGAACATTGCGTGCTTCTGAACAACGACTGTAGATGCCATAGTATGCTGAAAATTCAAATTTATAACTCTTCAGAAATGTGGAAACTCACATTATCCAGAAGTTGGACATCACAATGTTGGAAGGCGACCTTGAAAACGTATGGCTTGTGAGAATTGAGCAGTGCGCTGAACGATTTTGAGCAGTATGGATTTTCGGCTTGTCCTTTGACGAATATTTTGCCTTCGAAATCGGATGTTTCGTTTCCAAGGACCAGGGTCATACCATCGGCTTCGCAGTATACTGAAAATTGGATTTTTGGTACACTAAATTTAAAAGCGCGTATCTCCCAAACTAACAAAGCTATCAAAGTTTAGTCATTTGTAAAAATGTAGACAATTTTATAAGCTACATTTTCATAGTTAACTGTTTTTAGATAGCTATTTTGGTTTTTGAGATAAACCGCTTCAAAAATAGCCGGCGCCGACAGAAGGCGCACGCTTGAGCGCGCTCTATTTTTAAAGGCGCATATCTAAAAAACTAGCAAAGTTATCAAAAACCGGTCAATTGGTGAAATGTAGCAAATTTTATAAGCTATATTTTTACAGTTGACAACTTTTTCATAACTTTTTTGGTTCTTGAGATATGCGTTTTTAAAGTTAGTGCGCGCCAAAAGTTAGGGCGCTTCTTCCTTCTAATTAGGTGCGCTCCAACTTTAAAGGCACACACCTCAAAAGCTAGCAAAGCTATCAAAAATTTGCTAACAGCAAAAATGTAGAAAATTTTATAAGCTATAGTTTTACAGTTGACAACTTTTTGATAACTTTCCTAGTTTTTGAGATATACGTCTTTAAAACTAGTACGCGACAAAAGTGAGGCAGGGGTGCCTCTTCCTTCCAATTAGGTGCGCTTCAACTTTAAAATCGCATGTCTCAAAATCTAGTTAAGCTGTCAAAAAGTGACAAACCACAAAGATGTAGTAAATTTTATTAGCTATATTATATTAACTTTTTGATAGCTATGTTGGTTTTTGAGATATGCTTCTTTAAAGATAGTGCGCGCCCAAAGTAGGGCGCTTCTTCCTTCCAATTAGGTGCGCTCCAATTCAAAGGCGCATATCTCAAAAGCTAGAAAAGCTATCAAAAACTTGAATACTACAAAAATGTAGCCCTGGTTTCGTTCTACATACTCTAAAAATTCTTACCTGACAATTTTCCTTGATTAACATGCGGAACACAAGTGACACCATCACCAACATGTCCTTCCGGACAGCTACACACATGAGATCCAAAAGTGTTACGACACGTGGCGATTCTATTACATCTATGTGTCTTCTCAGCACATTCATCAATATCCGCGCATGTTTTCGATCCAGGATTCTGACGGAATCCTGGTTTGCAGATGCATTCTCCAGAGATACAGAGTTGGGACGAGGCGTCGCATGGTGTGACACAGGAGGAGACATCGGAGAGGTCTTGGGCGTTGGAGGGTTCTGAAAATTTTATGGTGAGAGGAATCGTGGGGATTTTCGGCTTATTTTGTTAGTTGAGGATATTTTGATAACTCTTTTGGTTTTTGAGATATGCGCCTTTAAAGTTTGTGCGCGCTTCAGTAGGCGCCTCGATTTAAAGACGCTGTATCCCAAACTAGCTATCAAAAAATTGGCTACTACATAAATATAGCTCATAAGATTTTCTATATTTTTGCTGTTGACTACATTTTGATAACTTTGCTAACTATTGAGTCTTGCGCCTTTAAAGTAAAGGCGCGCCTAATTGGACGGAAGAGGCGCCCACTCCCTAATTTTTGGCGCGCCCTTACTTTAAAGAAGCGTATCTCTAAAACCAAACAAGCTATCAAAATTTTGTCAACTATAAAAATGTAGCTTATAAAATTTTGAACATTTGTCAGTTAACAAATGTTTGATATCTCTGCTAGCACTAGAGATACACCCCCTAAGGATGACCTACCTTTAGCAACAAGACTAGTGCACTTGTAGAAGGGATCTCCCTTGAATCCATGTCGACAGATGCAGCTTCCAGTTGGCAAGCAAATCGCATTCTTGGCACAAACCGATTTATCAGTTCTACAAGATTTCTGTGGGAAGCATGAGACTCCATTTCCCGAGAATCCAGAAGAGCATTGACATTGACGAGTGTCCGGATTGCAGACAGCGTTAGGATGGCAGATTCCAGTGAAGTGAACGCAATCCAATGGATCCGGTACACAGCACAAACCATTTCCAAAGTATCCTGGATTACATTTACACGTCGTTCCTCCGACACAATGAGCATTGGCATC